TGGGAGTGATGACTTGAGAGTAGTAGGGTATAGTGATGTTAGCTTTCAGACTGATATGGATAATTTCCGCTCTCAATCAGGCTAGGTCTTTACCTTAAACGGATGATTAATTACTTGGAAATGTTCCAAGCAGGAGACAGTGGCTGATTCAATTTGCGGATCAGAGTATATAGCAGCAAGCAAGGCATCAAAGGAGGCTATATGGCTAAACAACTTCATTGGAGACCTTGGAGTTGTACCAGCTATAAAGGAGCCTATGGAGATTTTCTGTGTTAGTGAAAGTGCAGTTGCCTTAACCAAGGAACCAAGGGATCACGGAAGATCTAGACACATCGACAGAAAATACCATTTCATCAGACATCGAATAGAAGAAGGACTCTTCATGGCAAAGAGGGTATCATCGGATGAGAACCCAGCAGATCCCCTCACGAAAGGGCTGGGTAGGGTTAAGCATCTTCAGCATGCGAGGCACATAGGGCTAAAGGATGATATTAGTTTTAGAAATTAGATATCTTTGAAATTTGTAAAGTGTAATTGACATTTGATGATAAATAAAAGATGTTTATTTATAATTGAAATGTTGCTATCTTCTGTCAATCGTTTACTATCATTTCATTTTGCATGTTTTGACTTCCAGAATAACTATGTTATGGTATATCATATTATTCAAATTCTCCACAATCGATCATATGTTGGAAATAGATATGAATCAAGATTGTCATGAAGTTGGCTTGTAGATGTCTACGGTGTTGGACATAGCAAGAGTTGCTACAAAATTCATGAGTCCTCATAAGTTTTGAGTATTGGATTCAACCCACACTCACTTGTATCACTTCATGGAATTTATCTCGAGTGATCATGAGACGGTAATATCATATAAGTCTTCAAACCTAGAGAAATGAGTTGTTGACTATGAGTTGGTTATACATTGATTGCACGAAAACCCATTGGTAACTCGATGTTATAAAACGTGCCTTTATGTATGATTCAACAAGTAGTAGAACAAGCATATGAGTCGAAGTTTATCTGTTCCTTCTTGGATTAGAAGCGATATCTGGGCCCCTTGATGATTTTGTTTTGACCTGTGTACCGAGTCCGGTTAGAACTAAATTGATGTGTTCGATTAAGTTCTATATCAAACAAATCGGAGATCGGCAAACCAACTGCTAGATAATAAGCACGAAATTTTCCATGTATTTTTCCGACTGATATCTAGAATAGAGGATTATATGATCACTTATCTTAAATGGCGTATCATCATCATCTCAGTTTTGCGAGACCTTGAAAGGGCTACGATTGCTGATCGGTTCCTGAAGTCATTTTTGCAGTTATAGTTATTAGACTTATCCAAGTGGGAGACTGTTGGATTAGGTGTCTAAGTTCATAACTATTCTTGGAATGTACTTGACCCGGTTAGCATGGTCCATTTTGGGTTGCATGGCATTGCAACGCTTGGATAGACTAAATGAGAGAAATGACACTTAAGGTTTATTAATATATTATAAGTTCTAATATATTAATAATATTATTTAATTAGTATTGATCAATAATTAATTTATAATTAATTTGGTGATCAAAAGGAGACTAATTAAATATATCGGGTTGATTGTGTAAATCATCCATTCTTGTATAGTGGGCTAATGATCCATGATTTATTGAATTTGGCTAAAACCTATAAGGTGCTCCATGATAGTCCATGGAGGTTATGAACCCATGGATCATGGAATATGAAAAGTCGTGCACATTAGGGTTTACATGGAGTAACCCTACATGTAGCACATATATAATAAGCTCCATGGCTAGCAAAATTGGCCACTAAGTGAAGAACAAGAGGGCTAGCCGATTTTTGAGTGATAGTGTATTTCTTTTAAAGTTATTCCAAGGGTTGTGGTGTTGTGTGAAACATTTGAGGCATCACACTTGAGGTGCTAGGCTCACAAGGTTCTCAAGGAATCCAAGCAACAAGAAATGTATGTTTCCTAACTAGCTTTTATGATTCAAGTTCTCCATGCCATGTTAGATAGGTTAAGAGCCTTGGAAATCAAATTTGCATGTATCTTAGTAAAACATAGATCCAAGGTTTCTAGGATTGCATGTACTTTGGGACACAAAAGGCCATACTAGCCTCCTTAGGGTTTGTATGGGACTCTAATGGCATCAAGTTGCACCTTTATGCCTTCACAACCCTCAATGACCTCAGATTTGGTGGTATCATGAACTTGGGACACCCATAACCCATGAATCCTACTTCTTGGACAAGAGCTCCATAAAAGGAACCATAAAGAGATCTAAGAATCTACAAGGAAAGTTAAGAGCTTGATTACCAGAAAGTGATGAGATTAGAACGAAATCCCTGGATCTACAACCTTCTCATGATATTTCAAACTCATTCTTCTTCCTCTAGTCTTCAAGAACACATAAAGCACTCTAGATGGCTCACACACACTCTTATAAGGCCTTAGGGTTTCGTGGGGTAAGCTCTAGACAATGGGGGCTGGGAATGGAACCAAGAGGAGGAGAATACGATGCTTAAATAGGGTACTAAGTCCCGAAATTAGGGTTTCCCAAACCCTGACTAACTCGCCGAGTTGGTCTCCCAACTCGCCGAGTCGGTCACTTAACTCGCGACTCATAACTGCTCCGACTCGCCGAGTTTTCCCATGGACTCGGCGAGTAGACTTCATCATTTAGGGTTTTCCCTTCCTTCATTGCTCTTCTAGATTCAGGGTGTTACACTAATCTATCACTTACAAAATAATAAAGATGAAAACTAATTGTTTATTATTACATACCATATGAAAAAGAATATCCCAACCATTTTAATAAATCATCATAAACAACAACACAAAGAGTACATGGCTTCTTTATGCACTCCAAAATACAATAACATACAAAACAACATTTGGTTTCCAAGACAACTTTCAATGACAAAATATGCATGTAAACTTGTCACATAAAATAATAATTATAAAGTTGTCATAGAAAATACGTATGAATGCTTTTAAAAAAACAAGTTATCCATATTTTCCAAAAATCAAAATTATCCAAATAATCAAAAAAATTCAAACCAAACTTGGAAAGTGGCTCTGATACTATAAATTAGTTTCAAAAACACAAGATTTAGCAATGAAAGAATTTTAACGTTGAATAATATAAATTAGTTTTATTCACACAAAAAGATCATATTGCAAAGATTTGAAAGAAAACACAACCATAAAGGGAAAAAGAAGATGAAAAACTTTGTAGTTTTTTGAGTTTTCAAATGGAGGCTTGAATGTTGATGTAAAATGTGGAGTAAAGCTCTTCCTTTAGATGGAGACACCACTAATAGCTCAACTTGATGAATATGCTAATCTTGTAAAACTCTTAAATTACTATGCATGTATGCAGTGCTCTAAAAGGCGCGCGCCAAGGCGCGCCATGGCGTGAGATGTAGCTTCACCGTTACGAAAAACCTCATAATGTTGGTGTTATGCGTGGTGTGTGGCAAGACGCGATATGGCGCGTTATGACATGTGTTTTTTTGTTTGCGACATAGTTTTTTGATAATTGTTATGTCTTTTCTAATCGGAGATACAAATATTTTGGTTTTTGTTAACTTTTTGTTATTAGTTATTGAACTAATATTGCAAAAAGTAGTTATATTTAATATAAATTTATATTTATGTGCTAATATAATTTTAAATTAATACAAAATTCCTACCTTATATCACGCCTTGAAAAACACTGTAGCTCCTTAAGCTTGAAGCTTGGCCTTACCGCCACGCTACGTCTCACGCCATCTAGAACCTTGCATGTATGTTACAGTTTTTCTAGCAATCAAAAGGAAGAGATTGAAGCATTCTTTCAATTTCATGATACCTTTTTTGGTATTATATGCGTCAAAAATAAGTTGTTTTATTAAATTTTTATTTTATACTATACTATAATTGCTAATCTAGCGATTTATTTCGTGTTTTGTGTTGTTTTGAAGGGAGCTCGAGGCAACAACTTTAGAGGCAACCAAGTGTCCCACAAGGTATACAACGTATTCATTTCTGTTTATAGTCAATAACCCAAATCATAAGTGTTTCAAGTTTCTTAAAATTATATTACCAAATCAAAATGCAATAACATATTAAAATATGTTCTAACTAATAAGTATTTATTTTACTAAGATATTTACTTCGATGGATCATTTGCGTAATATTTTAGGCAGACATTGTCTTTTAATGTTCTTTTTCACAATTTCTAAATAAATAAAAGCAACTTACAGTCATTTCATATCTTTTATAAGTAGTGACCATTTACGTAAAACTCATTACACAAAAAGTATTAATTACTTAAACCCTTTCTGTTGTGTCATCAATAAATTGTCTAAATCATTCCTAAACTCTACACTGTTTTATGCCTAGCTTTTACTATAGACTATAGTAAACATATAAATGCAAAATCACAAAACAAAAATATTGCCAAATTTGTACATGCAAGTTATGTTGTAATTAGGTGATTGTGATTGATTTTGTACATTCAAGATGAGAATATAGAGTACAAAAATGCTAGCCAACATGAGATAAATGAATGAATGGCTAAATGCAAAAAATTACATGTATAATGATATATGATTATATATCTTAGCCAGGTCTATGATTACACCTCCCCGCTGTACTGGTATACGGAAACGACAAATAAGAAATGTGTGACTGATATTAAATCTCAAAATCTTTATTTTTTTTTAGAATTTCAAATGATTCGTCATTAAACAAAAACTTAATAAATTATAAAGATAATAAATTTATTATATATATAATAAATTTTATTATTTTTATAATTTATTAACTTTTTAAATTTATTATATTTATAATTTATTAACTTTTTGTATAAATCGATTGAAAGTTTAAATAAATTCAAAACTTAAAATCTTTGACTTGTAAAATCAATAAAATTATTATTATTAGTTATTACTACTCTTCATGAGGGGTAAAGATTCGTCGTCTTATTGTTGTTCTCCCATTTCCATTATATGTTTTCCTTTATTTTCTTCTAGTTGCAAAAATATACATACATACGCGTATCAGTCTCTAGATATTCTAAATCCCTTATCTGTCTCCAGATCCAAAATCCATCTTCATTTCCATCTCTACAAGCCTACTTGAGCAAAAACCCAAAAGGGTTCCTTTGATCTTTACATACATACAGTCAAATCTCCCGCTTCTACATAGTTCTTGTAGAATAGTCATCATCGATCTCTTGTTATTATAGATCCATTCTTTGATTTCATCGGCTCAAACCCTTTATCTCTTTCGCCGACAAGAACCTACACGCTTCAATTCATTTATAGGACTAACTCAGACCAAGAAAATTTCAATTTATTGCTTAATAATAACTCTTGTACCCTTTCCCTGATCAACTTTGGGGATTTTGTGTTCTTGATTGACTTCGTTGCCGTAGATTTAACGAATTTTTGGCAAATCCATTTTGGGTTTATGATAGTGAGATCTAAAAGCTTTTCTTGCGAATAAGGTTCTTGTTGGTCTGTGATCTACTAAGTTTTCATCTCACCGAGTTCGTCTTTTGGCTCTCATTTAGTTGCCTGCGAGGTGTTTGATGCTTTGCCGCTGTGATGCAGTCTGATCAAAGAAGAAAGGTATCCTTATCTAACTCAATACTGGAAAATCACTCCCTTGTTTCAGAATGTTATACAATGTTATTATACTTTTACTGCAAGAAAACATAGTTCGAAAATTGCATCTTCATCTTACAAAACTTTTGATAGATCAGTTTGTCGAAATTTGCTTATACATCATTCAACTTTTTGTTGTTGGTCATCAAGATCAGTTCATGTACGCATGGTTTTAATACGATTGGTGCGATTGCTTTCTTAAATCGATAGATATGGTAACAAATTGATCAACACCTAAAACTCGATCTATTTTTAAGCTTGGATCCAGATGTTCTTCTAGATTTTAAACATCTCAAATCGTATCATGCTTCAACACCATCTCAAATCATGTAATGCGAACTTGGATATCAAATCTTTTCTTCCTAACAACTTATCACCTATTACACGAACTAAACATACGGAATAACAAAGTATATGATTAACAAGGAATCAAGGAAGAATACAAATGTGTTACATTACATTGTTCTTATAATGCTAATACTTATGAACAATTTACAGGGATCTGCAGAAGTAGATTTTTTCACTGAATATGGTGAAGGGAGTAGATATAAAATAGAGGAAGTCATTGGTAAAGGAAGCTATGGAGTTGTATGCTCTGCATACGATACTCATCTTGGAGAAAAAGTAGCAATAAAAAAGATAAATGACATATTTGAACATGTTTCTGATGCCACACGTATCTTGCGTGAGATTAAGCTTCTTAGGCTTCTTCGTCATCCAGACATTGTTGAAATCAAACACATCTTATTACCTCCTTCAAGAAGAGAATTTCGTGATATATACGTGGTTTTTGAGCTTATGGAATCTGATCTACATCAGGTTATAAAGGCAAATGACGATTTAACCCCTGAACATTATCAGTTCTTTCTTTATCAACTTCTTCGTGGATTGAAGTACATTCACACAGGTACTAATTCCCTACTACATGGTGTTTCATTTTGACTTTTGACTTTTGAGTTTTGATTCTGGATTTATATTTATTATTTTATGCAGCAAATGTTTTTCATCGGGATTTAAAACCGAAAAATATATTGGCAAATGCGGATTGTAAACTCAAGATTTGTGACTTTGGTCTTGCAAGAGTTGCTTTCAATGATACACCTACTGCAATATTCTGGACAGTATGTGACTATGTGTAATTGTGTATTCCCATTATTGTAATCTGTTCTTTTTTTCTTTTTAATTATATAATTTATGATCGAATTAATTATGTGAGTTCTATGTGTTTGCAGGATTATGTTGCAACAAGATGGTATAGGGCTCCTGAATTGTGTGGATCATTTTTCTCTAAGGTATATGGTTTTTCTTGATCCACAATTGAATTAAAAATTGCAATACAACCTGTTTTTATTAAATTTATTAGAATATGTATTGTTTCTCATAATTATATTTTGGTTTTAAATTTTTTATTATGTTTAACATTTTATTCTTTTGTAAAGTTAAAAGTTCATTAACTAATATGGTTATGTGCATTTATTGCAATTGAAAGTTTAACCTTTTTACATGACAATGGTTTAAAAGTCATAACTTTCATTTTATTCCATTTCTGCCCTTACATGGTATTAACTCAAACCATTTTTTCTGCAGTATACACCAGCCATAGACACGTGGAGTATTGGTTGTATTTTTGCAGAACTTTTAACAGGAAAGCCACTTTTTCCCGGGAAAAATGTTGTTCATCAGTTGGATTTAATGACTGATCTTTTAGGGACACCTTCACCTGAAGCCATAGCCAGGGTATGTTTATTTTGCAATCATGCTTTTTTTTTTTAGATAATGAGGGCATTTATGTCTTTTCCATCCCATCCCACCTTTTTAATTGGGAGAAGAAATTGCAGCTTTTGTCCCATTAACAAAACAGTTAATCTAAAAAAAACCGCATATTTTGTGTTTTTTCCGGATTAAACCTCAAGTTTAAAAAAAATCTTGTATTTTTTCATTTTTCCCGATTTGGCCCTTTTAGTCATTTTTTGCCAAAAGAATTGTAAAATGTTTTTTCAAGAAAACTAAAAAAGTTGAGGGTTTATTTGGAAGCATTTAGAAGGTTGAAGGTTTTTTCCGGAAAAAAAATACAAAGTCGAGGGCTTTTTCGGAAAAAATAAAAAAATACAAGTTTTTTTTTTCAGGCAAAAAATAAATTTGAGGGTTAATCCAGAAGCAACACAAAATATAAGGTCTTTTTTGAGATTAACCCTTAACAAAAACTTGCAACTTTTGTCTCATTAGTCAAAAATCAATGTAATCTGTAACAAGGGATGATGAGGGCATTTAAGTCTTTTGCATCCCATTCCCACCTTGTTCTTCTACCTTTTTAAGTGCTAGAAAAAGTTGCAGCTTTTGTCCGATTTAAGATCCATCATACCTTTTTGTGTGGGACAAAACCTGCAACTTTTGTAATCATGTAATCTGTAACAAGGGTATTTAAGTCTTTTAATGTTAATTAATACAAGCAGATAAGAAACGAGAAGGCAAGGAGATACTTAAGCAGCATGAGGAAGAAAAAACCGATTCCTTTTTCACAAAAGTTTCCAAATGCTGATCCTCTTGCACTTCGTTTGTTAGAAAGGATGCTTGCATTTGAGCCTAAAGATCGTCCTACAGCTGAGGAGGTAGTATCTTTTTTATTTACGATTTTACCCTTTTTCTTGATGAAATAGTATTTCGTTCTTACTAAAAAGAAGAATTTGGGTTGTTGTTTTGGATTATTAGGCTTTATGTGATCCATATTTCAAGAATCTGGCTAAGGTTGAGAGGGAGCCTTCTGCTCAACCTGTAACAAAAATGGAATTTGAGTTTGAAAGAAGAAGAATTACAAAAGAAGATGTTCGTGAACTGATTTACAGGGAGATTCTTGAATATCATCCCAATATGCTCAAAGAGTTCTTGGATGGATCTGAACCTACTGGCTTCATGTATCCAAGGTATGTCTAATTTTGCAAAAGACGTAAATGCCCTCCACAAAATTTTATCTATCCCAAAACGTGGAACTAGGTGGGACAGGAACTTGATTTTTGATCTATTGTTTGTGCAAAAGACGTAAATGCCCTTCTTGTCTTCAAAAGTTGAAACTTTTTGTTTTTGTCCCATCCCAGACAAAAATGGGACAAGGGATATTAGATTTGCTCTTGATCTCTTTGTCGTATGTGCAAAAGACGTAAATGCCCTTCTCGTCTTTATTTCTTAATCATTGAAAATGGCCGTTGAAAGCTTGTCTGCCAGTCCTATAGAGTGTGTGTGAGTGTGTGATAAAATGTTGTCCCGCTGAAGTGAGGAGGGCATTTACGTCTTTTGCATCTTGATCTGTCTATCGTCTATGCAAAAGACGTAAATGCCCTCCATCGTCTTCATTTCTTAATGGTTGAAAATATAGCTGTAGAAAGCTTTCATCCTGTGTAACGTAACAAAGACACCCCGAGGGAGCATTGTGGAAAAGATGTAAATGCCCTTCTCATCTAAAAAGACAAACAACTAACCTCTTTTTTTTTTTTTTTTTTTTTTTCTTTTGTTCCTTTTCTGTTGCTTGTTTTACAGTGCTGTTGACCAATTCAAGAAACAGTTTGCTCATCTTGAGGAGCATTATGGCAAGGGAACTTCAGCTGCACCTCTAGAGAGGCAACAATCTTCATCATTGCCAAGGTATTTATTTATTTTACTTATTAATAAATAAATAAATAAAAAAAACTTATTATATATTTGGTTAATTTTGATTGGTTGTACTAGGGCTTGTGTACTATATCCAAAAGAGACAGTAGAAGTTACAAATGGTCTCTCAAAATGTTCAATCAAAGAAGTCGGGAAGCAATACATCACTTCTGCTGCCATGCCAATGAACAGACTTCCTCTTCAAGTTCCTCAAACCATCCAAGGTTTGATTGCCCTTTTCTTTTTTTGACCAATGGTCAAGGGGTATTTTGGTCTTTCCCTCTATTTAAAAATAAATTTGTAAATAAAAGTTAGGACTAAAGTTTTGTCTTATTTAGCAGGAGGGAGTGCTGCAAGGCCAGGTAAAGTAGTTGGTTCGGTGATGCGGTACAACGGCGGACCACCACCAGCAGGAGACAGTCTTGAACAGCGAAGGGCGGGTAGAAATAATCCGGTGGCGGCTCCCACCCAATTCCCACTTCCGGCCTCCTCCTACCCAAGGAGGAGCAACAACTCAGCCGCCTGCAAAAACGACAAAGTAGAAACCGCCATAGAAGTTTCCGCCAACGGCCTCCAGGCCCGACCGCCATACGTTCCAAGAAAACTTGCGGCGGCGCAAGGCGGCGGACCTGGTAGTCAGTGGTATTGATTTTGACCAAACTACCCCCTTGGCTTGTGGATGGATAGAGTGAAGAAATGGGCAAGTTTTGCTGGTTGTAAAACCAGAGGGTATATCGGTCATTTTGGTATATGATGTGGGAAAAGATGTGGAAGATATGATATTACATGCTTAAAAAAGACTATTAAGCAGCTAACCTTTGAATAACGATCTGTTGATTTTCAGTAGCTTGACTTGTAAAAATAACTACTATCGGAAAAAGACTAGAATTTGTGACAATTGTATGAATCCTTGTAATACGTATTTGTTGAAACAACGTGAATATGCTATTTTCTTAGTTGTATTCTTTCCATTTGTTTACTTGTATTTTGGTTTAATCGTTGTATTTGTTAGCATGTTGCAAAATAATTGTTACACTTCAAAGTTCTTAAAAAAAAAGCAAAAAGGGGTATTAGAAATTTGTTAATTGTGTTTATCCCAATTTTTGTTTTGCGACGTGAAAGTTTGGTTGTGGAGAAATCAAGGATTTTTCAGTTTTGGTGGTTTCCTTTTAGTATTTTTATTGAGGGTTAATGTCATGTTAGTCCACAGTTGTACTTGATAACTTTTTTTTTTTTTTTTTTTTTTTTTTTTTTTTTGGATTCTTGTTATTGTTACACAATTTAAGTGAGTTTAAATTTTATAATTCTGACATACCAAAAAGGTTGTCATGTCTTAGGAGGTAAAATTAAAAGATGGATGAATCTAAAGAACAAATTGAATAATACTGATCGTCGTTTTATAAGTATAACCTTTTATTAACGAACAAATTTGGATACAAACAGTTGAAAAGTAATGAAGGGGATAGCTTGTTTCTTTTTCCTTGTTAGACAAATTAGGTGTAAAATCCATTTAATTAAAAAAGCTAAATATAAATGTCTAAATATTTAAAAACTTTGAAATTATTAGAAAATAAGAAAAATAATGAATTATTAAAATTGATTTTTTTTATTTTTTAAATTTAAATAAATAAACAAAATAAACTAATGAGCTTTTTTATAAATTTCGAAATACGAATGTAAGTTGATTAATGAAATTGATACTCATTTAGTACTATATTTATTGTAATTATTATATTAAAATATTATGTTGAATTTATTAAAATAAAAAAAACCCATAAAATCACATATGAAAAATAAATTAATTCAAAATAATCACAAAATAACATTTGACAAATTGAATAAGAGTATCACATGTAGCAAAAAAAACTTTCATTTATTAGAATAGATAATCCGAGTGGAAAAGATATCGTTCGAAATGTCTTATTGGGTGAAATGAATTGAGCTGAGAAAAGATTTTAGAGATGGTTTAAGCGAAACTATTTTATTGTCTTGAATGGAATTAATGCGAATATATATTTGATAAGGTAATCTTTAAATTCTTTATATAAAAAAAATCAAAATTTGGAGATATCAATATAAAAGTATTTGATATGATTAAGGATATAAAAAAAAATTATATCTGATTAAAAGTTGAAAACATGTATAATAACCTAAATTAAACAAAAAAAAAATATTATAATAATATTAACTCAAACCATATATAATATTTAACCACCGTTTTAATGAGTAAAATATAAGGTTAAGATTTAAATTACGATTACAGCTGATCAAGAATGAAAGATGGCTGAAATGCAGTCAACAAAAGCAATCCACTCTCATTCAAAAGGCAAATATGCTGATGTGGGCTTCTCAACATAAGAACAAAAGCAACCATTCTATCCTTCAAAAGCCAAATATGCAATGTGGTCGATTCAAAAATTGTTGATTTAACAATATTAGACTAATTTTATATGTACAAGAAATAGAGTATTCGTAGTATTTCGTATCAAATATTGTGTTATATTGTAAGAAATACAGCGTTCAACCAATATGTTGTCTTATATAAAAACATCATATGTAGGTGTTTAACTATAACGGACTTTGTGGAAGACACTACTAGATGTATCGAATCAAACTTAAAGTTATTTTGGTCATTAGGAAGAGACTACGACATGGAATAAACTGTTCCAATCAATATTAAAGTTTTTGTTTGGAGGCTTTAAATAGATCCTTTCGCTAAGATGTGTATGCATGTTCATTCTTACTTTTCCTGATGTGTGGTTGAGAATCACATATCTTTTATTTTTAATTTGACACGTGACATGTTCTATTTGGGAACATATTTGACAATGGTGGGACTTAAACATTCCTCCACTTGACACGGTGGTGGAATGGATTTTTTGGACATATATTCGGTTCTTATTGCGATGAAACATAAATGTTGGGCGAGTCGTTTTAACTGGGTGTGGATAATTTGGTGTTTTGATCAAAGAAACCAATGAAAGGTAAACGATCATGAGCTATCTTCACTTTATCCTCGGTAATCTACATGACCTCAGAACTTTTGAACTGTTTTTTAACTCTCGGCTCCAACCAACAATGTAACATTCCGTTTGCAATTTAATTAAATAAGTAAATGAATAATAAACCCTTAACCCCGAGATATAAATCATATTATTTTATTGTAGCACTAAATCCTTAATATTTAGCAGGGTGTTGGTTTCGGAGAGTTAAATGATATAATTTGGACTTTTGGGGGTTAAAAGTGTAATTCCAAGATTTATTTTGTAAAGAATTCTGAAGGCTGAGGGTTGTTTGGTAAATTATGGAATCAAGTTGAAAGGATTTAGGAGGGAGGGGTTGAAAGTGTTATTATGAGCAAAGATTCCAAATGAACGGGCATAACCCATCACCTCCTTTCATCTAAACCCTAAACCTACTTCAAGTGCAGCCGCCACCCTACTCCTAACTCCATTCGTCACTGCTGCGCTGCGGTGTCGAGTCATTTCCTCCCTCTCGTTCTTCAGTCATTTCCTCATGTCCATTGCCATCTCGTTCTTCAGTCATTTCCTCATGTCCATTGCCATCATTTCCTCATGTCCATTGCTATCTCGTTCTTCAGTCATTTCCTCATGTCCATTGCCATCGCCGCCCCGACGGCTATCACATTTTGATGATATCCTCTCCGATCACTGCAAACCACCATAAGAGTGGTGGTGTTGTGTGTGTTTGTACTTCAGCCTATGTCGTTGTGTGTGTGTGTGTGTATGTTTCAGTCGTTACCACGGGTGTGTGGATGAGCTATCGGCTGGAAAATGCAAGAAGGCCACCATGGCAACCAACCATGGTGGCTGCCGGCCATGTTACTCCTTTTTCTGCCACTAGCTACCGTGAGAGGTGGCTCAGTGTCTAAAATGGTGTTATGTGTGTGTTTATTTTAGTTGAAGTTGTTTTTGGGTATTGCTTGACCGGAAACTGAAGAAAAACCACCACCACCACCACATGCCGTCATTTTTCCGCCACCAGCCGCCACTTTGGGTGGTTGTGTGCATATATGTGTTTGTTTGGACGGATGTTTTTAAATGCTTTATCACATCTTTGGTATAAAATCATAACCACCACCACTGTGAGGTGGTGGCTGCCGCCGTGAACCATTGTTGACCACCACTGCCCGTGGTGTTAGTGGGTGGTGCCCTACTCATTAAACTCTAATTAACCTAATTCGCTAGTATTTAGGTTGGAAACCATAATTAGGGTTTAGAAAACCCTAATTTCATGAAACCCTAATTTTGGAATTTTTCGGGACCCGCATCGAAACTATTTATTAGACTTAAAATATTAATTAATAATCCTTTGCAATTAACTTAATGCCATATTGGAATTAATGGATTAAGTCCTTAATGGGTTAAGTGTTCTTACTTAACCCTAATCGTTATTTTATGTGAAAACCCTAATTTTGTTTGGGCTTGAGTTGGGCCTTCCTTTTTGGGCTTAGGTGTTTGGGTTCTTGTTGGGCCATCTGAGAACACGTGTATGAACTAGGATATGTGGATGGGCTTTAGGGTAAGGCCCATGTAAGGGGTTGGGCCCAATTTGGAAAATTGGACCATATATTGGGCCTTGATTGATTATTTAGCTTTTGGGCCTTGGTTTTGAAACAAGCTAGGTTAGTGGTAAAATAGTCTCTTTACCCCAAGTATGGAGTTATGGTTATGCATTGGAACCCAATTACTACTGGGTGTTGTTTTGATGATTGACAATTTGGGGATCTGTCAGTCAGCAGCTGTAGTTTTATCTGCGGGACTTCAGCAGTTTGAGGTGAGTCTCCTCACTGTTTGTATGGGTCGAAGGCACCAATGTCGGCCCATTTGGTTTATGTATAGTAGGAAGACCCGGGAGTTATCCCTTGGCATTATGTATGAAAGACCAGGAGGTGGCTCCTGGCACACTGTATGCAAGACCAAAGTCATAACTATGGTAAGTAATTAGTTAAGTAGTATAGTTTGTATGCTAGTTGTCTTTATGATGCTTGCATAGAAGACCAGGAGGTGGTTCTTGGCACTTTTTTGTAAGATCCAAGGGTGGTCCCCAGCCTGGCAAGTAAGACCACGAGGTGGCTCGTGGCATAATGGCAAGACTACGTGTGACACATAGCACCTTTATTGATTATGATATATCTTTGATATGTATGGCTCACGGTTATGTATGGCATGTATGGATCAATGTATGGTATGTGGTATCTGGGGAACTCAGCAAGCTTCGTGCTTACGATTTTGAGTTTTGGTTTCAGGTACTTTTTCTTCAAAAGGAAAAGAGACGGCATGATCGCAGCGCATCACATTATGATTTTTTTTGTATTATGAGATATTTGGGGAATGTACTTTGATATTGTTTTCCTATGACACATTGTGGTTTTTGACACTTGGGTTTGATTATGAGTTAGTTAACACTGTTGATGTTTTCAGACTACCATTTTTATAATGTACTTAATTAAAAATGAAATTTTTGGCTCTGAGTTTTGGAATGTTACAAGTTGGTATCAGAGCCTTGGTTTGAGGGATTCGGGCATACTCTTGGGTGTGCCTGAACTCAAACTGAAGGTTTGGTGAATTTTTTTATAAAATAAACATTTACTTAAAAGAAAATTTCTAATTAAGAAGGGGGTGTGATGCGTGCAATCGGCTCGACTCAAGTAAGTGGTTCCCAAAGTACCAATACATGTTTGTTATGTGATATGATATGATTATGTGAATCACATGCTAGATTAGGGCTAAGGATCTGCTCAATATTATATGATAGGAAAGATGCCTTTATATGCTTGATTGTATGAGCTTTAGTATTGCATGCTAGTATGTATATATATGATAAGTGGATAGAATGTCTGGATTAGAGTATGTTGGTTAGATTTTTCCATTGTATGAATGTTGCTTACTTTGTGCTTTGTGGGACTCTTAGTGATGTGAATTGACTGCTAAGTGAATACACTAAGTCGCATGTGACCCAAGTTAAATAATCTTAGAGCGATGGATTTGACCTTATTATGCAGCTCTTATTTGAGTCCAACCGTTCTAGGGTTGAGTCTTTTAGTCGAAGGATTATCTAATCTCTGTTTAATGTGATTATATTCATGAGGAAGCTAATTGACATTGGTAGGAGTCCTTCAGCAACTGAGGACTGGGTGGGTTCGGGAACCTAGGAAAGCCTAGGATATGTTTCAGTGCGTTGGTAGTGCGGTCTAGCGAGTTTTGGGTGCATTAGTTTGGGGAAATGACTTAGAGGATCCGGGAGGATTGTTGAGGTAAGTATGGATAAGTGTGGAAGGTAGTATTGCGCCTGTACTACTGAAAGCACAAGATCCATACTCGAATCGGTGAGAGTCTTGGAGAATCTAAGAAGCTTATGGGAGGTGGATTCTTAAGTATGTTCTGATTTTGGCTTGTCGCTTTTTAGTTGGGAGATGAGCTCGCAGGGATATGGTTCATGTTTGGGTTCCGAATCAGGTGGAGGTGCTGAGCCGATTAGCGAGCAGTTACAAGAGTTCATCATATCGGAGTTTTCTCGCTGTGTTTCAGAGATAGTGGATGATTGCTTAGGCGCGTTCTGTACGGAGGTTATGGCTATCACTAGAGCTTGCACTCTGTCTTTTCGGGAGTTCCATGCTTGTGGAGCTCCTGAATTTCATGGGGAGAAGGACCACATTGTTAGTAGGAGGTGGTTAGAGGACATGGCTAACGCATTTAGGACGAGCTTCTTTCCTGAGGAGGCGAAGGTCAGATATGCTTCCTGCCTGTTAAAGGACCAGACACATGATTGGTGGGAAGAAATTGGTAGTGAGTTGGCTGATGATGCGATTGATGCCATGTCATGGGATGATTTCTTGACCATGTTCCCAGTGGAGTTTTCTATGGCAATCGGGGTGCAACAGTTGGCGTGAGAGTTCCTGGATCTCTGCCAACCCACAGAGACTGTGGTAGAGATCAATGCTAAATTCTGGGAGAGGGCTTTATTGGTACCGCAATATGAAGCATACAAAGAGATGAAGAAAGTGAGGTATCATGATATGTTGCGGGATGATATCAGAAATTTTTTTGAGTATTTCAGGGTGCGAGACCCTGAATGATATGATCTCTAGAGCCTGAGAGCGGGAGATTGATTTGGAGCACATTGAGAAGAGGAGGTCAGATCAGTTGCATATTTTGGAGGGTCCCGGGAAGGGACTCAAGACTTTTGATCAGCTGTTAAGAGGCCAGCAGGGCCGAAGTCAGTGCAGCACGTGCGAGAAACTGCACGATGGAGTTTTTCGTTCAAGGGGCCTGGGCTGCTAGAAGTGTGGCTGGGTTGGCCACATTAGCAAGAACTGTCCTCATGGAGCAAGCCCGTTATGTTTTCACTGCGATCAGGTGGGCCACAAGAAGGCCAATTGTCCAATGTTGAGGGGAGGAGCAGTAATTGCTTCTATTCCGGCTACTTTAAGGATCACCGATAGACGAGAAGGTAGGTCGGGAGCCCCAACAAAGAGGAGTTGAGCTTTGCAGTTCCATACGAGGGAGGTCAGGACTCCAGCAAGCGATATTGCAGGTATGTATCTCTTGCCTACCTTCATATTAGTTATATCAGTATTTATGGTTGTCGAAATCTTACATTGGTTTGGATAAGCATGCATCTGATTCATTTCTTTGCTCATGTATGAGTTATATCTTCAAATATTGTCACATGCCATTTTCATACGGTGAATTATTAGTGGTTAGTGTAAGGTCGTTTCCCTTTTGTTGGTTTTGGGTGTTCAACGTTATCTTGACTCATACTAGAGATCAGTTCAGGGGTATTATGTGAAGGTTTGTGGTCGGGGTCCGTAGGATGGTTATGTAGCATCATCAAGATTCGGTGGTTTTAGTAGTTGTCCTTAGAGTGGCTGCTGGAAATGCCAAGGAAAGTGGCTTGTTGCTGAGATACTGGTTGGAGCATCTGTCTTTTGGACTTCAAGATTTGATTGCGGTATCATTTCAAGCATTATGGATTGTCGGTATCACTGGGGTTCAAGAGGTGTTCATCTGGTCTTTAGAACTTGTGTGGCCATGTGGGGTTTGTCTAGTGATGGAGCACTAGCATTGACAATTGTTGGTTGTCATCGGAACGATTGTTGGAAAGCAAAAAGGTTTCGGAATCCTTCAGTTCTTATGTGTTGTGAAGGAATAGTCAAATATAAGCGGGGGAGAATCGCGCAGGTTTTCAGATCAGAAGCGGATTTTAAACCGGGAAAAGTTTTGCGTTCTAGTCAAGCAGAAAGACGACCCAAGCAACTATTTGGATTGAGGTTAGTATGAGTTGGAAGTTCGAGAAACTTACCAGCATTGAAATCACGCTTTGTTGGTACTTGATAGCATACCTTGGGGGACCAGGTTGGGGTTCCAGGCATAGCTCGAGTTCAGCTTGGGCGTTCGGTTGAAGGTGCGCTCCACTTTGGGTATGTTCTATTGTCAAATTAGCGGAGGGAATTGGGCTGCGAGTTCAGTTGGTGGAAGTGTTGTAAGACTGCGAGGTATCCGTAGCATTCACTAGTTAGCGGTTAGTGGAAGTGTTGTGAGACTGAGGGTAGCCGTAGCATTCACTAGTTTGTAGATAGTATAGGCGTGTTGTAAGACTACGGGGTGGCCCATAGCATTCACTAGCGATCAGTTAGCATGAGAAGTGTTGTAAGACTGCGGGGT